ATTTGGACGAGGGGATAGATGGGGAACTCATCAAATTTGCAGATGACACCAATCTGGCAGGAATAGCCAACACTCCAGAAGACAGGCTTAAGATACAGGAGGAACTGGACAGACATGAACACTGGGCGCTATCTAACAAAATGAAATTCAACGGTGAAAAAAGTAAAGTTCTACATTTAGGCAACAAAAACCAAATGTACAAGTATAGTATAGAGGGTACCTTGCTCAATAGTAGTAACTGTGAGAGGGATCTTGGAGTCCTAGTGGACAATCACTTAGATATGAGCCAGCAGTGTGCTGCAGCTGCCAAAAAAGCCAACACAGTGCTGGGCTGCATTAATAGAGGGATAGAATCAAGATCACGTGACGTATTAATACCACTTTACAATGCCTTGGTAAGGCCACACTTGGAATACTGCATCCAGTTTTGGTCACCACGATGTAAAAAAGATGTTGAGACTCTAGAAAGAGTACAGAGAAGAGCAACAAAGATGATTAGGGGACTGGAGGCTAAAACGTATAAGGAACGGTTGCTGGAATTGGGTATGTCTAGTTTAATGCAGAAAAGGACAAGGGGGGACATGATAGCAGTTTTCCAATATCTCAGGGGCTGCCACAAAGAAGAGAGGGTCAAGCTATTTTCCAAAGCCCCTGAAAGCAGGACAAGAAGCAACGGATGGAAACTAATCAAGAAGAGAAGCAACCTAGAACTAAGGAGAAACTTCCTGATAGTTAGAACAATTAACCAGTGGAATAACCTGCCTCCAGAAGCGGTGAATGCTCCAACGCTGGAAGTTTTTAAGAAGAGACTGGACAGCCATTTGTCCGAAATGGTATAAGTTTTCCTGCCTGAGTAAGGGGTTGGACTAGATGACCTCCAAGGTCCCTTCCAACTTTATTATTATTATTGATCATCGCACAGTCAGCCAGATGCTCAGACTGGATTTGGTATTTTGTCTACCTATCTGGGATAGGCAGATGTGGATGTTTGATGTTATTACAGATATCGTCGCAGGATGGAGGCAGTTCCTAGTAAGGCCGCCTTTTGCAATTTATTATTATTATTAATTATTATTATTATAAAGCAGTTTTAATACCATGTAGACCATGGGTCCCCAATCCCCAGGCTCCAGACCAATAGGAAGTGGACCAAGCAAGCGAGCAAAGCTTAATCTGCCCATGTGCAGGATCTAGGTAGTGTGCGAAACCACATGTCCCTGGTCCATGGGAAAAAAAATTTCCGGTCCCTGAAGCCCAAAAGATTGGGGGAACACTGATCTAGACTATTATTATAGTGTTTTGTATTAGATTTATTGTATTATTTGTACTAGATAGAGTTAATTTGTCATATTTTTGGTCTATTTATTGCTTTTATCTGTTAGATTTTTTTAAAGATTCCTTTTATATATATACTGTATATATTAGCTTGTTAGGTAATTTCATTTTTGCATTTTTATTTTCTGTTTTAAATTCCTTATATTCACCCTCCTTATGCTGGTCTTTGAGTATAATAAAGGTCAAAGACCACCTTAAGGAGGCTGAGTTACAAGGAATAATAAAGGTTTATTTGATTTGGATATGTTTTTTAAACAAATGATAAACTACATTATCAATGGCAATATAATTCCCATTCTATATCACTTACCTATCAGTCCTCTGTCAAGAGTGAAGGTTTTGTTAGTGAACATGCATTCAAAAGCCACAATATGGAAAACTTTGTTTACTGTGTTGTGTGTCCCAACTATTCTGATATACCTGTAAGTTAGAACAAAACAAAACAAAAATCAACAGAATGAAATATGTAACATAGCACTGATCTTTACTAATGCTGCAAGTATGAGTTTAGTTTATTTCTGTATTGAGAGACTACAGTACCAAGAGAATGAAAAACACAGGCTTCTAGTAAATGCATAAATAAATATTCCAACTATATGAGAAACAACTTTCCAACCCATCCCCCATCCCATCTAGTAAAGAGTATGATAGCAGCACTTTGCAAAAGCCTTTTTTTTTAGTGCTGTGGCAACAACAACAACAACACAACTAAGATTTTTGGGCAAAGCTTAGTAAAATATGAATCAAAACTTACAGTATTAAAGAAAGAAAATAATTACATAACATTAGAGAAGCAATCTTTTCTTTAATGTATTAATAAAGAAAAAAGGAGAGAGAAATGTGAAAAAACATGAAAAGAAAAGAAAAGAATAAAAGCATATATTACACATAGGAAATCATTCCTTCTAATTTCTGATCATAAATCCTTGACCATATGAAATAACAATGTTCAATCTTAATTACAAATAAAGCAAACATTTATAGATAATTCAAGACTGCAAACCTGGTATTAAGATCATTAAGGACTTTTTCTTGAACAGCAATCTTTTATCCCCATTATTCAATAAATCCATCAATTATTTATATATTGATAATTTTCAAGTTTCATGTACATTTAAAAATATATTCACATCTTTATATCTGATCTGTATAATGTAATGTCATATTGATTCACTGATTTACATTTAGAAAATTAAAAACATTGCCATTCACTCAATTTTAAACACTTTGTAGGGTAAACAGTAAACATGTCAAAAATATTCTCACAAATTAGTCTTAACAGTTAAGATTTCTTAAAACTCTTAGTTAATGATTTTTTCACATGGCAAATTCCAACGCATTGTATCTACTGGATCACAATATTTTAATTGTCCCCAGAGTAGTTTTTTGACCGAACACTTGTCTTCCAAAGAGAAACTAAACTAAAAATGTGTGATCTGCAAAAGCTGAAAGTCAGGGAAATTAACATCCCGTTATGAAATGATAGCCATAATATAGATAACTAAAATCTAGGTTTAGAGCTAGAATAATATTGTCCTTAATATATGGGCCAATGTCATTGTTGATATTTCTGTGTCAATATTTAACAAGGAAATCAAATGAGAGAATGTCCAGTCAGCAGGATATTCACCAGATTTCAAAATCAGTTTTATAGTACTGACGGGAAGAGACATTATTATAGTCCTTACAGTATTTAGGCAATACCAACTATCTATCTACAAGCTTTTCTTTTTTATATATAAATATTTTATTAGGTTTTACAAGGGTAAAGCTTTTCTTTTTGTGTCTACAAAAAGTAATATCTTACTTCTTGAAGAGGTAAAGTTGCAAATAAACAAGCAGTTGGTTCATGTATACAGTAATCTTAGGAACGTGAATATAATACAAAAATTGCATTCTTTATTGGTTACACTTGATTCAATATTACACAATCAAAAACAAAAAATGATTTACTGTTATATATCTTACTCTGGGCATCTTTAATAGTAGACATAATGTTGAATTGTTGCAACTGGTTCAACTAAATAGTTAGAAAGTCTTCCTGAGACGGCAATCATATAGTAATACATTATTAAAAAAATATTTCCACTCTGCAACATTGATAACATGCAATTTATATTTAAATATATATTTTAAATATAATACTTGTAAGCAAAAGAGCTCTTTAGTTAATGCAACTTTAATTTCTTAAGACATAATAATCTAAGATCTTTTCTTGGTAGAAATAAAAGACATTTGTAAGATTTGTAATTTTCATATTATACATTGAGTTATGGATTCTATAATTCATATAGAATTATAATTGTCTGTAACTGTATTGCGTAATTCTCATTCCAATTAACTGGAAACATAGGAAAGGATATATGCACTGAGGAATGGAAGAAAGTCATAAGTGGAAAGAAGGGGAGGGAGAGTGCTACCATGACAGGGATATGGAACAGATTGAACAGTGAAAAGTGAAACAAGCTAGTCAAAACCATACAAAATTTGATTTAGGGTTGCATTTTTGTCTACCTTCATCTATTCAAGTTTCCTCTTTCACCTATGCTGCATGACATGTGATGTTACAAATTAATCAACTTAAAATGATTTAGCTTAGTTTCTCTCTCTCTCTCTCTCTCTCTCTCTCTCTCTCTCTCTCTCTCTCTCTCTCTCTCTTTCTACCTCAGAGTTGTTTTGAAAAAAAATATGGGATGAGGAAATATTAAGGAAGTAAGTATTCCTCCTTGACCTTCAAATAGTAGACCCAGTAGAGGTAAGGATGGTTTGTAAGGAAAAAGGGAAATACAATGAATTTTGTTGGTATAAATTCTGTTTGTTTATTTAATTATCTTCATCTTTCACCTTTAGTTTCTTTTTCTGCACAGTGTTGCTTATTCCAACAAGTACAGTGTAATAGGCATATATGTATGTTCCAGTTTATTATGTTCTATATTATATGTAGAAACTTTAAAAATATACTTGTAAGAGAAAGATAAACAGGCAAGATGTAGAAAGTTTTTTTAAGATAATTTATTTTTGTTCTTGTTACCTTTAAAAAAATCAGATTGAATTTTATAAACCAAAAAACAGAGAAAAGGCAATTTAACCCAACCCCTTTAACATGCCCATTATACACACTCATATCAAACTACAAAATGATGCATGCTTCCATTTTTCATTGTAGACACAAAGAAATGTTATTATTCACCACTTTTTCATCATAATGAAAGGTTCCATAAATCAAAGACAAAGACAATAAATCAATCCTCCTCACCTAAAGAATAAACCTTTCTCTTTTTAACTGGCCTTACTCTCATTCCATACTATAAATATTCTCCCTCTTTTTCTCCCCCCTCCTATATACACAGACGCACACAGTATTTCGTGTATGTTTAAAAGTTTTACTTTACAAGAAGCTGTAACTATTTTACATTTTCAACTGCAGCTCTCTCTGCCATAGTTGTGATGAAGGATCACAAATATTTAGCAAGTTTTTAGCTATATGTGAGATTCTACAAAAGGCCTGAAATATGTGTAAAACCCTATTATTTGTTGCTAAGCCTTTACTAAACTTATCTGACTAGGATTTTTGTTAACTAAGTATATTGTGAAAGGAAACATCATAACCCAAATTATTAATACAATTCAGAAGCAGGTCTCTGCACACAATAGGGGGCTTGGGGAATGAATAACTTATACAATTTATATGTGCTGTTGTATTCTGCATATTGAAGTTTTCAAGTGCTTTTCAAGAGCAACTCTAGGTGGAGCACATTGCAGAAATCAAGATGAGAAGTCTCTTTTGCCCTCAGGACTTAACTTTCTACAAGAATTAACCTTGAATCAATATGCTCCTCTTATTCTTAATGGGAGAATGAGTCCAGTTATTAATGAAATTAGATTCTAATAATTATTAATAAATGTTCAGAAAAATCCCAAGCAAAGCATTATAAAATATCTCAATGGAATAAAAAAAGTCACAAAATTATTAAAATATAATTTCCTATCATCCAAAGTGAAAAATGCATGTTATCAAATCAACAGCTATCTACTTAAAAGAAATGACATTTTAAGAATACTATTAGGATTTTGCTGCATATTCTTTGAAGATGATATAATTTAACTTTGGGGCTATTTCCATTCTACCAATGTTGAAAAGCTTAGATCAAGGGTGTCAAACCCAATCGCATTGTGGGCCATATTGTGACAGCCCTTGCGGGGCCCTTGTTTTGCCCTTGCAGGGCAGGGTGGGTGTGGCCTGTGCAGGCTGCATCTGGGCCACAGGCTGCGTGTTTGACATACCTGACTTAGATTAAGAATAGATTTTTGAAAAGAGGTTCTTTAAACTAGAAGGTTTTCTTTAACATTTTTAATGCTTGGATTTCTATGAATATTTGGGAATTTTTTCCAATACAATTTTTTCCCCAAGAGTTGTGTTTCAGTGAGATTCTTCCTTTATTTAAAAATACTGTGATTTTCTTCCATTCCTCTTTCTTTTTTTCCTCTATGTTCAGCATCAAACTGTAAGTACTTCGTTAACTATCCTTTCTTTTAAAATGAACATTTTGCTCTCTAAAACTATTCCTTTTTTCTCCAGAAACTACAAAAATTACATGGAATAATTATTGTGTTTACATATCTTTAACTGCAAAGTACCTTTTGCTCCTATGCATTTTCTAAACCTTAAAACCCTTTAGAAAGAAGCTTAATGAAAGAAAAAGCGACCAACATTTTGAAATTTCTATACTCAGAGAAAGTTGAAACTTGGTCAATAACATCCAAAGTATGGAATCAAACTATATTTTAAGAAATTGGTAGTAGGAAATAAAGTATGCCGATCATGCTCAAGCACATATGACCATTGGATCTACAGTCCCAACTGGGCAAAAATGTACGCTTTCACACATATGACTGTTCTTTACTCAACTATAAATCATTAGTTGTACATGATATATAAACCAAACTGAAATAGAACTCAGATTCATAGAGAAATAAGCAACTGATGATGACTATGAATAAAACCAATAAGATTTCACTTACAGCTTACTATCTACAATGGTTTAGCTAAGTCCTATTAAATGATATCTAATCATATTAAGATCTGAACTGAAAAAAATGGGTAAAGACAAAAAATTCCTTCTCCCTTAGAAAGGAAAGTGAAGGGGGAAAAATGAAGGTTAATGTCTGTAAAAATTCCTGTCAGATAACAAATTATGCAATGCTGTAATGGCAAACAAATGGTTAAGGGAAATAGTGTGAGAAAACTAATTGGTTCAAAACCTTCTGTCCCTGGTGATGGCACAGGGACAATGACAGTTCATATTATAATATATAAAATAGTATATCTGAATGGAAAATTGAGATTTTAAATAGCATTCTGACATTTCAAACTAAAAAAGGCAATGCAGACAAACAATTTACATCCATCTTTGGGGGAT